GGCCCGGCCCCTTAAAGAGACACACACGGGCCCCCAATACGCCGCCAGTCGGCGTGCCTGCAGCTGCTGGCTTGACCCCAGGCCGGGACGGGCGGAGCGAAACACTGCCCGGCGGGCCCAGGCCGACAGTGCCTGTGGCTCTCCGGAACAATAAACCCCCGGCTCCGGTGATGTGGGCCAGACCGGACCTAGAGAGGCGGCACCGCGACCCCTCACTCAACCCGCCTGGCGGCCGGGAGCAGTGTGACTCGGCCCGCTACCGTGTTACAGCTGGCGACTGACAAACAGCAGGCGACGTCGGGAGAACTCCCCGAGATGGCCGAGACATCAGCCTTCTTGCTCCACGGCCCTGTAGGACCTGCCCGCCGGGAGCCCCGGAGTCCGCGGCAGCGCCGAGGGCCCCTCCCCCAGGTCTCTGGGCTCTGAGGTAAAGCGGCCGCGACTGCTCCCGGCCCCTCGTCCCACTCGCCCCTCTCTCTCCCCCTAGCCTCTTCATCTCGACCCCTTAGCAAGCACGGAAGCGCAGCGAGGCGGGGGATTGCTCGGAGGCCGAGCTTCCGGCAGCCTCCTCCGCCCTCCTGGCCGCTGTGCCCTCGGGGCTCCTACCTCCACCTCGGCGCGGCGTTTTGCCCCCACCCGAAGTCTCTAAGGCGGCAGCTCGGGGCTCTTGTTTGGTTCTTGGGGCCTTAGAGGCAGTGTCATGAAAAAGATGTATTAATCACTTTCCTCCAGAAATGATAAGATGAGATTAAGTAGAATAACTTGAAAGAGTTACGAGTTGTTATTTTTGGAAGGAGGGATAGGAACGCGTAAATCCAATAGCTAAACTTTCTAGACGCTGAAGAGTTTTTTGTGATAGATCATTTTGACATTGGGGGTTCATAGGGTTAGCTTTTTTTTGTGGTGTTGTTGCTGTTGTTTTTCCACTAGAATTTTGAATCGGATTTTACCAGCAATTGGTTAAGGAAAGGAAAGGATGTCTCTTCCAGTTAAGAAACAGTGGTTAAAAACTGAAATGTGGGCCAGGCGCGGTGGTTCACGCCTGTAATCCCAGCATTTTGGGAGGCTGAGGCGGGCGGATCACCTGA